TGTGATGGCCCGAATTCTTGATTATTTGAGTGTCACTAAATAAAACTCAATTCTTTCATAAGATCTAAAATAAGAACACGAAAATTTTTTATTTTTCTTCAATAAGTAAGTAAATTTTGGTTTTATCATGTCTCTGCGAAAAATAAATAAAAATAATAATTTCAACATAACAACTAAATTGGAAATTCGAAGTTGTGTTTTAAACACAAAATAATTTATTAATCCTAACCCGTTGTCTTCTCCATGTTGACTGCCTCGAACTATCAATTGCCTGAGAGGGAAAATTATCATAGAGTAAGATTTACAAAATCTCAAAGAGTACGCCATGAATTATTATCGTGTATAACTTAAATGAGCATAATAATCATAATCAATATAATGGGGAGACAAGAATTTTACCGAGCATAGGTGGTAAGAATTCTTATGTGTAGCGCTACTAAACTCTAGTCCTCTTAACCTAATCATAATCATATGGTACCATATAGGACCCATAATAATTTTCTTGAAATTTATAACATAATAATAATCCAACATAAACAGCACATTTACTGTGAAATTTGAAAGAAAGAGTAATATAGACTTGATCCCTCTGCAATTTCTACATCGACTTATGAACGTGTATATGTGAATATTTTTTAAACTGAAAAATAATAGTTAGTGGTAGCATGTGAATGTGAATGAGAGGTCTAAATAGGACAAGACTAGGCATGCATTATTAAGGAAAAACCCATGATGGTAAAAATTGTTCCTTGAAATTTGTAAAATGAGCAAGAATCTCTCCCATTCCTACATTCATGCATTCACATTACATATTATCTTATGTTTGGTCAATCAAGAATATGACAAAAAACATATATCGAGTGTTTTCTATATAAGTGTTTGACTAAGAATTGACCCTTTCTTTAAATCAAAAACATGTGGGAATTGACATTTATAGTAAGGTTGCTACAAGGTCCTAGAAGGTGAATTAACCCTCAAATGAGTCCCTAAATTTTCAATTCTAATAATTTGACCCAGAAATTCAGGTGCGGGTATTATTCTTGCATATAGTTTTTGTTTGAATATTAGCAACATAAGAGGATGAACGTGTGGATATATGATCCAAAGGATGAAAGGCTGAAGAAAAAGTAAATTTAAAGAGGGAATTTTGGAATTCTTTTCAACTCCAAAGAGACTCTTCTGAAGATATTTCATGTCACAAAACTGTCATTACTTCAGTCCATATTAAAGTTTGTTACTTATCTCTAAATTCAGTATTTCTTAGTATTTTACTGTAGGGTTTTCTAATAATTCCAGAAAAATCTTCTATTCCTTGAATTTTAAGAATAGGTTCGCTTTACTTTGTGATCACATGATTTCTCTTTTACGTTGTCATTATTACTAGTTTGGTAGGCATGTTTCACCAGATCTTGACATCCTTTTATTACAAAACTGAAGAATAAATTACTATCACCCTCTATATCAGAAACGTGAATAATGATGCATTGTGAATTATTCTCATGAATGTCGCAGTTGCTTAATGTCCAGAAGTATTATTTTTAACGTTTGAATTAAGAGGACTCATAAAATGCCAGGAATTGTGTGATAAACTTAAGGATGAGCTTCTTCACGAAACAGATAGTACTTTGCTAAATGTTTTACTTGAATGTTATTTCTCAATTATTCTTGTGTTTTGCTGCAGGTTCAGGTGCAAATGGTGCAATCATACATTACAGACCAGATCCAAATAGATGTAGCACTGTCGATACTGAGAAACTTTTCTTACTAGACAGTGGAGCTCAATATATTGATGGAACAACTGACATTACCCGGACAGTTCATTTTGGCAAACCCTCTTCACGGCAAAAAGAATGTTTCACTCGGGTTCTACAGGTGTGATTTATTTTGTTTGTTCTATATTTTTATGATCTCTTTCTCTATAAATAAAATTTATCTAGACTATTTAAGGAAATGCTTTATTTCTATTTTCTCTCTCTACTTACTGGCAATCCTGCATGAGTGTTTCTCTTTTTCCATATCTAGATTTAAAAGAAATTATTCGAATATGTTCTTAGATTTTTTTGGAGAACATGTGAATAAGAGAAACTAAAAGGTTTTAGAACAGTAAGAGTAAAATTGAATACATTGTATACAAATAAAGTTCGAGAAACAGGTGTTTTTATTGAAAATATGTTTACCAGATTGCCAAATCTAGGGTGAGGATAATTCCTTGTTCGGATGGTTGAGAGAAGGACCTGAGACGAACACAAAATGGCTTGATTATGAGTGAGACAATAATTTGTGTCAAGTATATTTATTTGATGTAAATATCAACTACATTGAAAGTGAAGAAGTACTACAGAGTATTGACTCAGTTGCCAGCCTTAATTAGTTATAGAGAACGAAGATTGGACGTGATGCTTAAAGGTTTTCAATGTTCAAATGTCTCATCTTCACCCAGAAACTTGAATCTTAATTCCGTAAGATGTGATTAGACAGACTGCACTGGATGGTACTAAGTGTTTGGATATAAGAACTTTTTATAAGATACACAGATGTGGACAACAAGATGTCTTCAGTTACGCAAGTAAATGATGAATTAATCAACATTATATCATTCAGGAATTACTTCCAAGTTCCAGCCATGCACACACTGACGTAGAATGCAACAAACACGAACAATATTGAGAAAAAGAGAGAGAGAGGAGAAAGAGAAAGAGAAAGAGGGAGAAAATAGAAGAGGAGGGGGATGTATAGAAGTGGGGGGATGGGGGGAGATGAATCAGATGAACTGAAGAAGAATTTTGGAGAGGAAGTATCTTTATTTAATTCATCAAAGTTGTATGTATTATGATGCATAAGCCCCCTTTATACAGGGTTAAATGAATTCCAATTAAAGTAGGAAAATAATATGAAGCCCTGATTGGTAAGGATTAAAATTCAGATTTTAATCAAGTCAAAGCCAACAATTAAGCCCTTGTTTTGACTCCATTTTTCTAGGAATGCATTTTTTACTTTCTTATTTTCAACAGTAATCAACACAATCTATTTTTAATCGAGCCCAAACAAGGGCTAATTTTAACCACATATTGCATGGCCTCCACAACTCTCAACCATACATTCATCAATTTTTATCAAAATCTATGAATTTAAACTCTGATTATGTTTCCTAAAATAAGCATCAAAATCTATGAATTTAAACTCTGATTATGTTTCCTAAAATAAGCATCAAAATCGAAAATCAAATTAAATAATATCTATACTAATATTCCCATCACACACGTTAGTTATTATCCATTAAAACAATCTGGTGCTTTAGTCCACGCACAGATATTTATCATATGATCCTGAAAAAGAGTCTTTGACTTCTCCCCGTCCAGATGGACCAAGTTCTGATCATCATGGCCGACTTCCACAAATCTTACCATACTCACTACTTCCAAAGACGCAAAACTTATAGCCAAGATGACAATGTAAAGATGTGTTTTGCAAGTGTGAAAAGGTGAAACAAGAAATTACAATGGACTTGAGATGATAAAGATAATGTCGGAAGAGGATAAATTAGAAAATTCAGTTTGCATTGGAAAAGACCAATGGACACACCAGTTCGGGTATCAAACATCAACACATAATATGAGTGGAAAGCCAAGAATATTATTAATACCTGTTTATAGGAAAACCTAGCCATCCTGATTTTCTAGCAGGATAGCTTTGGGTAATGTGTTTATGCTGGCTTTTGATTGATAGGCTAGATTGCTCTAGAATACAGCATAGTGGTTTACTGTGGTCATGATGGTCCATATCTGTAATGCTGTTTAACTGTGTAAACCATTTCTTAACATGTATGAACTGGAAGACATATATGCTGCCTACTGAGATTTTAAATATATAAACATTGTGAAAGTTTCCTGCTCAATGGAGAACATAGCTTTAGAATGCATAGTACAAGAGCATTATCTAGGTTTTATAGTCTGCTGTTTGTCTTGTCTTTAAGTAATTTTTGTTACACTTTTTATGCTGCTTGAAATGGCTCTGGATATCAGGAATAAACTATATTGATTACCGTTTTCGGCAGGGACATATAGCTCTTGATCAGGCCATATTTCCTGAAAATACCCCTGGTTTTGTATTGGATGCGTTTGCACGATCTGCATTGTGGAAGATTGGCCTTGATTACCGTCATGGTATTTGTCATCCTATACCAATAAATTGTTGCATTTTGTTCTGATACTAGATCTGCTTATTTTAACCTCTCTGGCTTCCATACTCTAGGCACTGGTCATGGTGTAGGAGCTGCACTAAATGTTCATGAAGGCCCCCAAAGTATCAGCTTCCGATTTGGGAATATGACGCCCTTGCTGAAAGGCATGGTTGTTAGCAATGAACCTGGATATTATGAAGATCATTCCTTTGGAATCAGGATTGAGGTATGTATCAATTCAGGTATATTTGTGTGTTAATTATCTTTATTGTGAGTGGGCTTCTTTATCCAATCAAAACATTCTTGGCTGCCCATGCTTTAAGAAGCTTTGCATTCAATCGTATTTGATTTGTTCACTCTGCATATTTTAGTACGTAAGTTGTAGCTGCTCGAGTTTTTTGGCCAAAATCCACAATTGTGGGCTTTGATTTATGTCTACTTACATGGAAATAGTATCATCAGACACTTTTTCTTTTGAAATGTTGAAAGTAAAATGTAAATAGACAGAAAGTCCTCCAATCTTTAATAGTTTGAACTTTTAGATGAGGTAGTTTAACATAATAATAACAAAGATTCCGGGACCAAGTCTCAACGCCATCTATTTATGTAAATTACATGTGTCAGGCAATTGATTAGAAAATTTTGCAGGCACGCAGGGGGGCATATTGAAACTAAAATATAATAAATTCCTTCCTACTAAAACAGCTTAAGCTCCTAGAAGAGGTGTTTTAAAAAAGACCCCTTGTCTCTAGAGGTCCACTGTCATTACAACTGTTTAGGCACAGCATTTTAGAGTGGTCTTTTGGTATGACAACTATTTGATAATGAAGATAGATCGAGACCATGAATGACGTGGGAGTTTCTAGACTTGTGGTCTCTTTCTTTTATGCCTCCTATTTGTTTGTCCCTTCCCCTCTTCACATCTTACTTTTCCCCTGAAAATTATGTCTTTCAATAACTAAAATTTCATATACCTGCAAAAAACAGGGCAGTCCAGGTTGGAGTTCACGAGGTTTTGATACCTAAGCATCTTTTGCATTCGACGACTACATTTCTGTCTATAAACATATATATAAGTGCATGACAATGGTGTATATCCAAGTGTTTAATCCGGCAAATCCAGAATTTTTATTCTATTTATTTTTTTTTTTTTCCGTACAATGAAGGAGAGCCTCGTGATATTTATGTTGAAGAATCAAATGTCCAATAATTAACGGAGGTTGCAAGTACCTTATCTGTTGCTTTTTCCATCTTATTCTATATAATGATTATTGATCCATTCTTGTCATACAGAATCTTCTTTTCGTGAAGGAAGTTGACACACCAAATCGCTTCGGAGGAATAGGATATATGGGGTTTGAAAAGCTCACATTTGTTCCCATTCAGGTATTTTAACTCAACTGGTGTTTAAATGTCGCTCATGCGATCAAATTGTTCGCTAAAGAAGTTTGTTCACATTCGATAAATTGATGGTATGGTTTGGTGTCATTTTTGTCACATGGGATTAAAATGGTCTTTGAGTCATTGACAATCCTATGTGCCAGCAAGCTAGTTTTATGTTAGTGCAGAAGTGAGCATTAATACGTACCACCAGTGATTCAAGAAAAACAGTTATTTATTTCTGCAGTTGAGGACATGGTTTCTATATGTGTGATGATATACCACAAAACAGTGTCTAAAAATTATCAGTATGGAGTTGCATTCAGTCACATTTTGTTTCTTTTCTTAACGTTCTGGATACATACACCCCATCCTCCGAAACCTACCTTGGGAATTGTGGATGCTATAAAATTTGTTACAGATTTAGTGGAAGATCCATAAAAGACACCAGGGGCAGAGGGAAGATAGGATCATGGCCAGCCAACGTGGCAGAAATCTCTCCAAACATGATTTAAAATTACACTATTTTGTTCAAGTTGTAAAGTTTCAGTCACAGGTGACCCTTTACATAAATAACCTGCTCAAAGTTTCAGAGTTGGTTTCGGCTCTTTCTCCAGGAGGCTTAGGCTCCATTACTGCATATTTCATTAGGTTTCAAGGCATTATAACCTGCTTTGCCTTCATTAAAAAGTCTTCAGTTAATCGATTGTAATAATGTGTGATCAACTCTGTGTATTCCCTGGTATATCTATCTAACTTCTACATTCACTCCCACGCAAAAGGAAACATAGATGAAAACACTACATGCAATTTTCAAAAGTTTTTTTGAAAAGTTGGATAATTTCATTATAAAATTGATCTCGGGATAAAATTCTTATTACTAGTTTCTAAATGCCTGTTAATTTAGAAAAGGAAAAGGGTCTTCACAAACATCATCAGCTTGTAAATTATAAAGATATCACAAAAATAACACCAATTCGTGCAGTCTTTTTCACCCAATCTCCAAAGCTGATACCTGGGATACCATTGCGCGAGAGGATCCATAGCGATTTAAAATCTAAGATAACAAATTTGTTGGGTGCTGTAAAATGAATTATGCTTACTAAACCATTTGATGTTGCTATTAAGACCTGGGGTAGGTTTGTAGAGATTCATAGTTGATCCGGTGAAATTGCTGATAGCTGCAATTTTTCCCCGTGGTAAAACCTGTCTATTATAATTCGTATGTGCCATATTTTAGCTTATAATGGAATGTATTTTTTAACCATCTCATGATATACTTTTTGTTTGCAACTCATTAAAGGTATTTTTGGCATACTGTATTGGACATGACGGGATAATACAATGCACAACATTTAGTTTCTTCTTCTTATGTATATAATCCAGTACTGCAGTACTATGCTGTCCATCCTACCAAGCAAGGCCTAAATACTTTTCATCTGTAACTTAATAAAATACCTTTTCACCATGCAGACCAAAATGGTTGACTTATCCTTACTATCTACTGCTGAGGTTGATTGGCTCAATGATTACCATCGCCAAACTTGGGAAAAGGTAAGCAAGCAAATGTCTCAACTTGTTCTGTTTGGTGATCCCAAGGAGTTCGGTAGGGTAAATTGGTCTTTTAAGTTTAAACACATGTATTGGAGGTGTCAAAAACTCAAGTCGACAGGTGTCTTTGGCATTCAATCTTCCATAATTACTCTTTCAATGTGGGAATCTACCCTTGCACACACTATTCGTTTGGGACCTTAAGAATATTTTCAGGTGTTTTGTGCATTCATTCCTCCATAATTACTCTTTCAATGTGGGAATCTACCCGTGCACACATTATTCGTTTGGGACCTTAAGAATATTTTCCTTCACTAGCATACACATGTTGTGCGTCTTAAGAACACTGGAACTACCAACACACAACTTGCTAGCCACTCTCACACTAACAAGCCCAAGGTAGCTCTAGTCTTTACATGATGCTCCGTTAGAGCTCAGAATCACACGGCAACTAGTCATCAGAACACACGAGGAAATAGTTTCTATTAGGCTATTTGTATATACTTTAAAAACTTTTATTATTACATAAAGTGATGTCAAGATCACTGGATGTTGTCAACAGGTTTCACCGTTGGTGTCTGGTTCTGCACGTCAGTGGCTGTGGAACAATACGAGGCCAGTGGGCAAGCCTTTGTACGGACTGGGTGCTTAAGGTTATAGAAGGGTATGTAACTTGTACACAGAAATAACTATGTAAGTTTCAATACTGTGTCATGTGATTTGCTGGAATGTTAAGGCTTCTTGCTCGTGCGAGTAAATGATTAAGTCATGGCTATTGGCAAGTCTACCTTTATGCTCGTCGAAAACGCAGAAAAAAAGAAATGGCAAAACTGTTTAGTTAATTTACTTAAATCTATTTTGCTGCAAAATCCTTTTTATACCAATTATCAGTGCTCAACCCAAAAGACTTAATTTTGACTGGTGATCTGACTAATTTATTTGTATACTTCCCGGCTCATTTCTCGATTGAGTATGTTGGTTCGACTATCCAGATCGTTACTTTTATAATTTGTGCAACAATTTCTACTTCTTCTTCTTCTTATTATTCTCTTTTGTACACATTCTTGACATACATTTCAAGAAAGTTATATTTCCGTGAGGTAATTATTGCAATTTAATTTAGTAGTGTAATATAATGCAAGCTCAAAATGTTCTATTCTGTAAAATTTTTCTTTGCCAAAGAGAAGATGCGGGTTCGATTCCCACTATCCGTGGAATTGTAGAAACTATTAAAATCAAAGAAGTAACAATAATAACTATAAGTATAAGAAAGAACCTTTTTTTAAGCCTACAAGAAAATGTTACAAATCATTAATCAATATCCCCAAGGATGCAAGGACAGCGGTCCATTGTAAAAGAAAAAATTCATCATTATTTTATACAACCATATCCCTGAAATAGGATAACATATTCTGTCCCTGAACCTTTACCTCTCATATCAAATCCACTCTTTTAGGTGAAATTTTTTATTTTTGTCTTACAAACTTTTCAGTATATGACAGCATAGAAATAAAAGATGAACCTTGCCACGACCAACTTGTCTTGATAAGCATGTCGGCCTGCGCAAGCCATTTCCATGCCAGGACTCTCTTACTTCACTTACAGCTACAACTTGCAAGTAACAGTTATGTCTCTCTATGATATCACAAAAATAACACCAATTCGTGCAGTCTTTTTCACCCAATCTCCAAAGCTGATACCTGGGATACCATTGCGCGAGAGGATCCATAGCGATTTAAAATCTAAGATAACAAATTTGTTGGGTGCTGTAAAATGAATTATGCTTACTAAACCATTTGATGTTGCTATTAAGACCTGGGGTAGGTTTGTAGAGATTCATAGTTGATCCGGTGAAATTGCTGATAGCTGCAATTTTTCCCCGTGGTAAAACCTGTCTATTATAATTCGTATGTGCCATATTTTAGCTTATAATGGAATGTATTTTTTAACCATCTCATGATATACTTTTTGTTTGCAACTCATTAAAGGTATTTTTGGCATACTGTATTGGACATGACGGGATAATACAATGCACAACATTTAGTTTCTTCTTCTTATGTATATAATCCAGTACTGCAGTACTATGCTGTCCATCCTACCAAGCAAGGCCTAAATACTTTTCATCTGTAACTTAATAAAATACCTTTTCACCATGCAGACCAAAATGGTTGACTTATCCTTACTATCTACTGCTGAGGTTGATTGGCTCAATGATTACCATCGCCAAACTTGGGAAAAGGTAAGCAAGCAAATGTCTCAACTTGTTCTGTTTGGTGATCCCAAGGAGTTCGGTAGGGTAAATTGGTCTTTTAAGTTTAAACACATGTATTGGAGGTGTCAAAAACTCAAGTCGACAGGTGTCTTTGGCATTCAATCTTCCATAATTACTCTTTCAATGTGGGAATCTACCCGTGCACACATTATTCGTTTGGGACCTTAAGAATATTTTCAGGTGTTTTGTGCATTCATTCCTCCATAATTACTCTTTCAATGTGGGAATCTACCCGTGCACACATTATTCGTTTGGGACCTTAAGAATATTTTCAGGTGTTTTGTGCATTCATTCCTCCATAATTACTCTTTCAATGTGGGAATCTACCCGTGCACACATTATTCGTTTGGGACCTTAAGAATATTTTCCTTCACTAGCATACACATGTTGTGCGTCTTAAGAACACCGGAACTACCAACACACAACTTGCTAGCCACTCTCACACTAACAAGCCCAAGGTAGCTCTAGTCTTTACACGATGCTCCGTTAGAGCCCTGAATCACGCGGCAACGAGTCATCAGAACACACGAGGAAATGGTTTCTATTAGGCTATTTGTATATAGTTTAAAAACTTTTATTATTACATAAAGTGATGTCAAGATCACTGGATGTTGTCAACAGGTTTCACCGTTGGTGTCTGGTTCTGCACGTCAGTGGCTGTGGAACAATACGAGGCCAGTGGGCAAGCCTTTGTACGGACTGGGCGCTTAAGGTTATAGAAGGGTATGTAACTTGTACACAGAAATAACTATGTAAGTTTCAATACTGTGTCATGCGATTTGCTGGAATGTTAAGGCTTCTTGCTCGTGCGAGTAAATGATTAAGTCATGGCAATTGGCAAGTCTACCTTTATGCTCGTTGAAAACGCAGAAAAAAGAAATGGCAAAACTGTTTAGTTAATTTACTTAATCTATTTTGCTGCAAAATCCTTTTTATACCAATTATCAGTGCTCAACCCAAAAGACTTAATTTTGACTGGTGATCTGACTAATTTATTTGTATACTTCCCGGCTCATTTCTCGATTGAGTATGTTGGTTCGACCATCCAGATCGTTACTTTTATAATTTGTGCAACAATTTCTACTTCTTCTTCTTCTTATTATTCTCTTTTGTACACATTCTTGACATACATTTCAAGAAAGTTATATTTCCGTGAGGTAATTATTGCAAGTTAATCTAGTAGTGTAATATAATGCAAGCTCAAAAAGTTCTATTCTGTAAAATTTTTCTTTGCCAAAGGGAAGATGCGGGTTCGATTCCCACTATCCGTGGAATTGTAGAAACTATCAAAATCAAAGAAATAACAATAATAACTATAAGTATAAGAAAGAACCTTTTTTTAAGCCTACAAGAAAATGTTACAAATCATTAATCAATATCCCCAAGGACAGCGGTCCATTGTAAAAGAAAAAATTCATCATTATTTTATACAACCATATCCCTGAAATAGGATAACATATTCTGTCCCTGAACCTTTACCTCTCATATCAAATCCACTCTTTTAGGTGAAATTTTTTATTTTTGTCTTACAAACTTTTCAGTATATGACAGCATAGAAATAAAAGATGAACCTTGCCACGACCAACTTGTCTTGATAAGCATGTCGGCCTGCGCAAGCCATTTCCATGCCAGGACTCTTTTACTTCACTGACAGCTACAACTTGCAAGTAACAGTTATGTCTCTCTAAGCTGGCAGATAATTTGCTACATCTTACTGTGTTCTTTATTGTGCTAAGGTAACGATACTTCTCCATGAGATATTGGTTGCGCCGATAAATTATTTCACGACATTTCAATTTCTGGAGCAGAAAATTGAATGAATGAATCAAATATTTTCAAGGAAAATGCACAACAATAAGAGGAAGTCATTGCACATTAGGCCGTTACAAACTAGACAATGAAAATCCACTAGCAGTGGAGGCTTACGTACTTTGGAGCATTCCAGGTTCTGGTCATAACATCCTCTGTAGTGTCAGAACAGATGTTGAAAGCTCGGTATATATGTCGGATACTGCTTTGGCGAAGTAAGCCTTTGATTGGGGCCCCTTTATCTGAGATTCCAAAACAAACCAATGAATCAAACAAACTGTTCTCTAGTTGCTAAATTAGTTGTGAAGAGACAACAACAACAAACTAAGCCTTTTTCTGAACAAATCTGAGTTCGGCAAGAAACAACCTTTTCTACTTTCGCTTCACTGTTTTTCAGTAAATTTTGGTTATAACGACTTCATGTTTATTTGTTTGTTTCATTTCTAGATTTATATGAATATGTAAAAATTCCAGATCCTTAGAGGTGAGAAAAAAATTACCTTAAATGTTGGAGTTAGCAAGCCGTTCTCTGACGTAAATGACTCGACCACCAAGGTGACAGCTTTCACAAATTCGAAACCTCTCAACTGTTTAGAGAAGTGAAGAGCCATCTATACAAACTTTTCAGTATATGACAGCATAGAAATAAAAGATGAACCTTGCCACGACCAACTTGTCTTGATAAGCATGTCGGCCTGCGCAAGCCATTTCCATGCCAGGACTCTTTTACTTCACTGACAGCTACAACTTGCAAGTAACAGTTATGTCTCTCTAAGCTGGCAGATAATTTGCTACATCTTACTGTGTTCTTTATTGTGCTAAGGTAACGATACTTCTCCATGAGATATTGGTTGCGCCGATAAATTATTTCACGACATTTCAATTTCTGGAGCAGAAAATTGAATGAATGAATCAAATATTTTCAAGGAAAATGCACAACAATAAGAGGAAGTCATTGCACATTAGGCCGTTACAAACTAGACAATGAAAATCCACTAGCAGTGGAGGCTTACGTACTTTGGAGCATTCCAGGTTCTGGTCATAACATCCTCTGTAGTGTCAGAACAGATGTTGAAAGCTCGGTATATATGTCGGATACTGCTTTGGCGAAGTAAGCCTTTGATTGGGGCCCCTTTATCTGAGATTCCAAAACAAACCAATGAATCAAACAAACTGTTCTCTAGTTGCTAAATTAGTTGTGAAGAGACAACAACAACAAACTAAGCCTTTTTCTGAACAAATCTGAGTTCGGCAAGAAACAACCTTTTCTACTTTCGCTTCACTGTTTTTCAGTAAATTTTGGTTATAACGACTTCATGTTTATTTGTTTGTTTCATTTCTAGATTTATATGAATATGTAAAAATTCCAGATCCTTAGAGGTGAGAAAAAAATTACCTTAAATGTTGGAGTTAGCAAGCCGTTCTCTGACGTAAATGACTCGACCACCAAGGTGACAGCTTTCACAAATTCGAAACCTCTCAACTGTTTAGAGAAGTGAAGAGCCATCTATTGCATAAAAGATGTGACCAAACAAGACCCGTAGAAACCTTAACAAAGTATAGGTAAAAATCACTCAGGGAAGATATTACCTAAGCTTCCTTTCCTACAGCATCCATCTCAGCAAGAGCGGCAGCCCTTTGCTCTTGAATCATTGCATGGTTGCCCTAAATCTTCATTCTGCACAACATGCAAATTCAAACAAGCAAAAGAAGTTAAGATGCATATCTGAGCAATTGAGAAACCCCATTTAATGAAATGAGTAATGCTATGTAGCAAGGCCGTCATTTCAAATGGATCTCTCTTTGTTTCTAATATTATTGACTTGTTTTCTTGTCTCTCTGCGTGCATGGTGAAGGGGAGTGAGGCCAATTATCTGAATCCTTAGTCTTTTAAACTGTCGATCCATGAGTGAGGTTCATAAAGCCTAATCTCATGGTCCCATTTCAAGGAGCATGAAAGGTAGTTGTGCCTCTTGTTTAAAACATTAAGGAATTTACTTTTAATTTTAAACCTCTCTAACCATCTTCATAACCCAAGACAGAAACTATTCTTTGGAAAGAGTGTTATTAAGATTGGACTAATCCCTAAAGCTTTCATCAAGTGGAAAAAAATAAATAAATAATAATAATAAATAAATAAATAATAGAAAAAGGTATCGTAGAATGACAAGAACCCAATATTTCAACCAAATACCTAGAATTAAAATTTTTGTTCGCAAATCTTGACTTGAAGTCTTTCACTAAAGTAAGCTATTCATGTATTGATTACGACATCAATATCCTACAAAATGATAAGCCTGAACCAGTTTACTTGACTAGCTATTAACTAAGCATTACGTGCTAATCATTGCACAAGTCACTGACTACAGCTTACCACAAGCAGGATTGGGAGAACCAACATGACCAGTTAAGGTGTTACTTTCGTCCATTGAGCTAATGACACGTGAAGTCTCTGTCATACCATATCCTTCAAGCCCTGGACAGCCAAAACGTCTACATGTAGAGTGAAATGCTCGGTAAAAAGTGTGACACCCTAATTCTCATTAATATAAATGTTACTTATCGAGTGCTGGAAAAATATGCAACTTTACACCCTTAAAAACTCCATGACATCAGGAGACAATGGTGAAGCACCTGAAGTCATCAAACGGACTCCCCCTCCAAGTTTGTCTTTTCTTTTATTGAAGACCAATCTATCTCACATTGGTGAAGGTTTTCTTCCTGAAATGCACAAAAAAATGTATGCATTATGAAAAGCATCGAAAATTAGATTGGGAAGTAGGAATCAACAACAAAATGTCAAACTAAATATCCTTCAGGTGATAAGACATGAATATGAAACAACTGGAAAATAAATAAGAAAAACCTGGAGAGAGAATTTGAAAAGAAAATAGAAAGAATGAAAGAAAAACCAACACTGTTAGAGGAAAATAATATAAAAAATAGAACTGAAATCAGCAAGGATTTGTTGAAATGACTGTAGTTTCATGAAGTCAGAGATTGCAATCTGTATGTGTGTGTGTTTGTGTCTGCAGCTGATTAATTTGGGAATGCACAGCCTCCTTTTGCCTGCATATTCCACTTAATTTATATTTTCCTGCTAGTGTTAGCTGCTTCTTGGTCCTTGTTTCACATTCTTAACACTGATCGTGGAACATCTGAAATAGCCCCTAACAGTCCAAGTTTTGAATGTTCACCCACTTCCTTCAACTACAGGATGATCAGGACTTTCAGGCATCATTTCTGCTAAACGTTTGAATGAGAGATCAATCGTAAAATCTTTAGTACACATTTCCACTTTCATAAGATCTCCTGGGGTTTTTTTTTCCATTAACACAACATTGAGTTGTGCAGGAATGATGTCCTGCCACGAGAATCTGTTCAAAACTCACCTTAGAGGCTGAAACACTGATTCCCTCCATCTTCAATTCATTTGTTTTACATTTCTGGAACTAACAAATTTGAATCACTCAGGACTCTTCTGAAGTTATTACACACCTAATTTATCCGTGAATGCTAACCAACTCCTGGGTCCAATGACTCCTTATTTCTAGTCTACATCTATACTTCAGCCTTTCAATTTTTACAAGAGAAAAATTTAGACTGTCTTATCAGTATTACTCATAGAGGATTTTTTATTTTTTATTTTTTTCCCCAAAGCCTACATTGCACATGTACAGAAAACAAAGCCTTCATGCTTGAAGAGGATTAAATCCTCAATGGCTATGTTCTCAGGATTTTCATCTGCAAAATTTGGATAGTTTCAGTTTGTATTTTCATTATTTGTGGAGGCTTGAGTGAACAAAATGAAAAAGTAAGAAACTATCTCTAGTTGTGCAGAAACGTAACTATTGAGCTATATTCAGTGTTTAACTTCCATAAACTAGAAACTATACCTTCCCAAACTATTAAATGAAAGGACAATGCTACATTAACAAACCCATCTACAAAATATTTGACAAGCTCGACAAGTGGTGGCCCCCTATTGGAGGGGCGGCTGTGGGGACAAAATGAAAAAGTAAGAAACTATCTCTAGTTGTGCAGAAACGTAACTATTGAGCTATATTCAGTGTTTAACTTCCATAAACTAGAAACTATACCTTCCCAAACTATTAAATGAAAGGACAATGCTACATTAACAAACCCATCTACAAAATATTTGACAAGCTCGACAAGTGGTGGCCCCCTATTGGAGGGGCGGCTGTGGGGACAAAATGAAAAAGTAAGAAACTATCTCTAGTTGTGCAGAAACGTAACTATTGAGCTATATTCAGTGTTTAACTTCCATAAACTAGAAACTATACCTTCCCAAACTATTAAATGAAAGGACAATGCTACATTAACAAACCCATCTACAAAATATTTGACAAGCTCGACAAGTGGCGGCCCCTATTGGAGGGGCGGCTGTGGGGACAGCCGCCCCTCCAATAGGGGGCCACCACTTGTCGAGCTTGTCAAACATTTTGTACAATATTTTGTACATATATCTTTATCCTAAATGAAAAGGTTAAGTTGATGTAAGTTGAAATTCCTCCATCTAAAACATAAGAGGAGTTTCTATTGGTGAAGTTTTCTTCCTTCATCCAATCACTTCCAATTTCCATTTAGCTTCATATTCAAGTATATCTGCGAATACAAATAGAAAGTTACTTGGTTTTGTTATCATGCTTTCACAAACAACCTCATTTCTTCTGCCCCGTGATAATATCTGTGAATAAAAGATTCCCAGTACCATGTTTGTTTAGTATCTGTTAACACCCCCACCCCACCCCACCCCCTTTTCAACCCAAGTAACCCTTTCTGATACTGGTGAAAGCCTCTCTTTTCAAAGATATGCTACTTTTGCAACAAAACATACTAGTGACAACTACATACAATTAATAATATAGAAATGTCACATGAAGGAAAATAAAGACAGAAGCTGTAGCTGATCATACCACCCATTACAGCTTGCTTCTTTGAATTGTAGGCTGCGTTACATAGCCTGTCCTTTAGAACACCGGAAGTCTTCACAGCATTAGTTATCCTACAATGAGCCATAAAAAATAAATGCAATTGAGAGAGCTCACTAGATAAACACATTCACTTGATAAACATTTTAACAATTATTACCCAGCGTATATTCTGTTGAATAAACGAGGAACACTGGAATATATGGTGGGTCTTAGAGCAGCTAAATCATCCATCAACTTCAAGTTATCCAGCAGAATAATAATTACATTTCATACATAAATCTGTTGCAATGATAATATTCAATTGAAGATGTATAACAATCGTGCTTATCTCTCTGCATCAAGATCATTGACACAAAGCAGAAATTCAAAGAGTGCTCTTCTCTACAACTTTCAACTAAACTCATTTGAGCTTTTCCGGCTTAATTTCCCTTTTTTATGCATTGGCCTATTGTTGTAACCTGAACCAAATATCCAAAATGTCATATTGACTTGTGGATCGCTGTTGTAACAACAATCGCTTGATATTAAAATGAAATTTGCTTGCATTTCATCTGCTTCTACAGATTCACCCAGTAAAATGTAAAAAATCAAGTTTCATTATGCTTAACCTTTCGGTCAAGTTATAGAAAAATGATTAAGTGCTTCAACAG